CCCTCTCTCTCTTTCTCTCTTTATCTCTCTCTCTCTGGTCAAATTAAAAATAAATGAATGAATTACTAAATTTTAAAACATTGCTGAGTTATCCACAAACAGATGTATTTCTAGTTTATCAGTGGTCTCTCCACCTTTACTAGAAAATGTGAAAAAGTAGATACTCAAAATAACTCATCACTCCTTTCTTGGTTGTTGGGACCCAAATTGATCTTAGAGATAGCTCCCTCAACTATTGAGAAACTTGCCAAAAACAAACAGAAGTCTCTTGCTCCAGAGACTGCTGAAAAGCTGCTCTAGGACTTGAAGGCCGTCAAGTATGTGGAGTATTCCATAGTCACAAAGAAAGGCCTCAAGAATGTATCTGATGAAGCAATACTAGTTGCCCTGGAGCCTCCAGAACTGAAAAAGAGCCACAGTTGTGTGCCTACTATGAACATCTCTCCAGAGCCTCTTCTGCACAGCTGGTATTGGCATCATACTAAAAGTAATGTTTAAATCAAACAAAAGATTAAAAATTAAAATTGGTTTTTGCAATAATGACAAATGCCCTACACCCACCCATGGGCACTCATGTGAGCCAAGGCCGTAAGTATGGCCCCCCTATTTCCTCCTGATACTGGAATTTTGAGTAATTTTGTACTGTCAGAAAAGTGACCAGTACTAGTTTTTCTTTTGTTGTTTCCAAAACAATTTTTTTGTTTGTTTGTTTGTTTGTTTGTTTAAAAGCAAGGCATGTGATGACTCTGTAACAAACTAATTTGAATTGTTGAAGTTGCTCCCTGGTTCCACTCTGGGGAGTAATCTGAGACATCTTAGTGTTTTTGTTTACTTGTTTGTCTGTTTTCCCCCTTAGTTTAGGGGAGGACTGTTTGTGGGATTTCCTTTAAGTCCTGCTTTTTTTTTTTCTTTTTTTGGAGAGGTTTTTGCTATAGGGCATGTGCGCTCACCAGAAAGACAGAGAAACAGCGAGGCAGAAAGTGAGAAATCACCCCCCAGGGGGGATAGCCATGCCGCAATCCCTTCTCCTCCATTCTCCTCTTGGGATCTTGGGCACGCACACATACCTGCCTGGAGTGAGTTCAAGCCGTGGGTCCGGGACTCGAACCACGGTTAACTACATGGGAGTCCAATGACATAGCCATTATGCTAACTGCTGGTCCCAAGTCCTACTTTTTTAATTCACTAACCAGTGAGTAGCACTTAAGGGGAGGAGGATGGACTAACTGCACATTTCACTTCCTAGTTCTAGTTTAGAAAACATGTTCCCCATCTAGTGTTCTTAGGAAGGTGTATAGTAAATGCCTCACTTAATAATGTTTAAAAAAAAATGGCTAAAATCCCTCCCTCAATATTTTCTCTTTAGCTGTATGCAAGCATAATTGTGAGAGCTACTCAAATAGCTAGGTTACATATTTTTTCACATTTACCAGATGAAAGTATAGAGAAGAAAGTATAAATTAAAACTGTACCAATTAGGAAGTGTGGGTGCCAAAGAGGAGACGTGAGGAATGTGCAGGACGTGACCACCAGAATAAGACCAGGGTCTTTATCCAGACATGGCCTTGGTGGCGGGATTGCTATGAGCAGAATGTCTTGGGATCGCTTTGAACTAAATGTTCCAAAGTATTGTTATAACAACCTGATAAATTCAGTAAGGACTTAAAACCTTACATCACAGAAGTCTCTGGAGTGTTCATAAATACTAGCAATAAAGTACATTCGGTGCTGACCAGTATTGACTGGCAGTCCTCCTGTTTCTATCCTGTCATCTTGTCTTCTTTAATCCTCACCCCCCACTCAGGAACTGTTTGCCATTGGTGGGTTCAACAAGGAAGGAAGATGTATAAATGCTCGCGTGGAATTATATTCACAATATATTATTCATAAAAATGCACAAGAAAAATAACAGTGTATACAGTATTATCTTGATTTTGGAACAGACCAAAACCATACAACAGCATATGAAGGTGTGTTTGTGTATCTGTAAATACATAGAAAAGATATACACCACACAGCTAATAGTGGTTATACCAGAATTAGGAAGAAATTCTGACATTTCCTTAATGTATGTATGCCGTATGCTTTACAACAATCTATCACTTTTCAAGACTTCAAACATTAAACAGGTAAAATGCTTAGCAGACAACAGGTAGATAATAAATGTCAGATTCTTTTTGTAATTATTTAATCAGTAAGCATCAATTCTTACCGGAAGAAAAAGATAACCTAGCTTAGTACCTTATTTATTTATTTTAAACACACACACACACACACACACACACACACACACACAGAATATATGAGGAGAGATATATATATATATATGGAGTGGAATAATCATTTCAGCCTAAGTTGATGTTAATGTGACAATATTACATAAAACTCTAAAAAAAAATCCAAAAAAGTTTAGGAAAACCTGACTTTAACAAAATGGTTTCCTCCAAAAGATGTTGCTCTTCTTATGAATTACAAGATCTAACATTATTTCTGATTTGCGGTTTAGTCTGCTGTTGGAGCTTGAGTACTGATCCTATGTACCTTCTGAGTTAGTCAAAACCACCTATGGGAACATCAGAGATATTACTCTACCCATTTTAGTGTATTAATTTCTTTCCATTTCATTTATTTCCATGCATGTATAATACATGGTTGCATGTTAAATTCATACCACAGTGCTTTCTTAAAAATCTGCATTATATTTTTCTCAAATATTTTTTATAATAAATTTTAATGATTATCTGATGGCTTCTTATATAGGTAGATATAATTTAATTCTCCTGTCATAAGAGCATTGATGTTGTTCCCAAATTTTTGCTATTATAATAATGGTCAAAATATAATAATTATTTATAGGATCATCTTCTGCTTAAAATGAATGGTTTATAAACTTTATCTAATATGGTGTGCTTTATGGTTGATTCACTGATTTATGATACTATATTGTTAAACTCCTAAACATATAATGGTTTATTTATAGACTGCTGTAGCAATCAGAATATTGTTCTCATTATTTTTTTATATTACAGTACTGTACTTTTTATTTTTGCTTTATTGTTTTAGATAAATTTAGAATATTTTTATAATGATATTCTCCTTAGATTCCAAAAGCTCATGAAATTTTATTGGACGTGTTTATATCCTTATTTACACAAAGAGTTTACAAATCAGCAGTTTGCTTTTACATGTGAAGGTTCTAGACCCTATGTATAAAATATATATATTGGGGGACTGGCAGGTAGCATGGTGGTTAAAGGTGCTGGATTCCCACATGGCCAACTGCAGTTCAACTGTCAGACCTGGTGGCTTGCTTTCTTGCTTTCCCTTTCTCTCTCTGTCAGATCAAATTAAAAAATAATAACAAATGTAATTAAATAAAGAAATAATTCTTTAAAAAAAAATATATATATATATATGTACAGTTGTCGGAAAAGTCATGACGTATTTTTGCACAGAAAATATATGTCATGATTTTTCCAACGACCCAATATGTTCTAATATTTTTTATGTTTATCATTTTCTTTGCAGTTTTTATAGTGTTTTTAATTTTTATAGACTTAAATATGTAAATATAAAAATAGTTTTGGGTCAGCCTCATATCCTAGTGGTTAGGGCAACTGGATCCCACATGACCAACCATGGTTTGAATTCTAGCCCCAGTATGGAAAAACATATCGGCACTCATGTATACATGTCCCCAATTCTCACAGAAAGGAGAAATGGAGGAGAAAGAATTGTGGTGTGACCATGCCCCATTAGGGGTGCTTTCTCTCTCTCTCTTTCTCTCAATCTGGCAAGCACACAAGTCCTCTGGCAACTAAATAAAAATCACTTCCATTTTCAGTGTTTTGTCTTTTTTTTTTTTTTTGCGAGATTTTTTTCCCTCAGGGCCCGTGCGCTCACTGGAGAGACAGGCAGAAAGTGAGAAATCACCTCCAAAGGTGGATGGCCATGCCACAATCTCTTCTCCTCCATTCTTCTCTCAGTATTTTGGGCATGCACACACATACAAGCCCAGTGTGAGTTTCAAGGTCCCACGTCCAGGACTTAAACCGTGGTTGACCATGTGGGACCCAGAACCTTAGCCATTATACCACCTGCTGGCCCCCAGTGCTTTGTCATTTTTAAAAGGCCTAGCCCATATCAAGTTTATATAACACCTGCCTACATTTTCCTCTAGTTTATTTGTGGTTTCATTTGTAAAATGTCAAGTTTTGAAACTATGTAGAATTCTGAATTCTGACAAAAAGTGTGAAGAACAAATCCAAAAAAATTTTAACATATGGCTTACCAATTATTGAAATGTTGTATTGACTTTTCTAAGCTTTTCCAAATAATTTCAAATACCATCTCTATCATCAACGAAATTCTTACAGATGCTTGATTCTGTTTCTGGTCTCTTGTATTTCCTTTAATTTTGGCCCCAATACACTGTACCAACTAAATTATCATAGCTTTAAAATACATTTGAGTAATGGAGCCAGCAGGTGCCACGGAGATTAAGGCACTGGATTCCCACATGGCCAATTGTGTGGTTCAAGTTGCAGATCCATAGCTTGAAAATAAAGTCAGCCAGAAGCCAGATGTGTGTGTGGACCCAAACTCCCAAAAGGAGAATGGAGAAGGGATTGCAGCATGGCCATGACCCCTGAGGGATGTTTTCTCACTTTCCCTCTGTCTGTCTCTCTCCGGTGAATGCACATACCCTATGCCAAAAACCTAAAAAAAAAAAACAAAACAAAACAAAACAAAACAAAAAACACAAGAGAGGGACAGTATCAAGAAAAACAAACATTTGAGTATCAGCAAGACCAAACATCTTAACAGTGTCTTTCAAACATTCCGCACACTTATGCTTCTGTTTTCTAAAACAGAGCATATTTAATAAGATATTCTTAGAGTATAAAGGAATAACAAAGCACATTCTCTTAGCACAGAGAGGATTTCCAATTTCTACCAGAATATATGTATAAACATTCAACAGATTTATTTAAACTTACTCCAGTTGCTACTCGAATATTTCCTGATGGGGGTCGTATTCCAGAAGGAGGCCTTCCTGTCAACCCAAGTCCACCTCGAGAAATAGGGCGAGCTGCTGAAGTTTTGAGATTGCTGGCCATTGTTAGTTCACTTTAGCCACTGTATGGAAACAATAAATAGTTCAATTCTCTTTTGACGTCTCCAATTACAAGACACTAGTGACCCATCTTATTCTTCCTTCAAATGTAATACACAATGATTTTTCTTGCAAATTGCCATTTCAGGTACCACTACAAGGATAAGTATGCTTTAATTTTGTTTAATTTTGACATTAATGTGCCAGCAGAACTAACTGTAAGATTGTTTATTACAACATTCCTTCCTTATCTGTCTCTTACCATAAAATAAGCCCCTCAGTTCTCTCTCCTATGTTCTCATCTCACATTACATTGACTTTTCTCTGACATATCTAGCATCTTCCTTCTCTCCCAATCTTTTCTCTGTGCTCTGGAGACTCACTTATACTCTCAGTCCTGTTAAAAAGACTTCCTATTTTACTCTTCACTTTAATAGAATTCTGGCTTCTGCTGAGGTAATAATTTCAGTAGAGAAAACTGTTTTAGCTTCCTGTACCACAGTTCCAAAGCAAAGGAAGTAGTACTTTCTTTGCCAGTGTCACTTTCAAAACACTATTATTCTTCATGACTTTTTAAAAATTATTTTAACTTCATTGATTTATTTTAATTTGACCAGAGAGGGACAGAGAAAGAAAGAGAGAGAGAAAACGAGAAAGCAAGCCGCCATGTCCAGGACTCCAACCAGTTGGCCATGTGGGAGTCCAGTGCATATAACCACCACACCACACCACCTGCCAGTCCCTTCACATCTTTTTAAAAAACTAAACAGGATTCATTTCTTTTGAGGATCAGAGAATGCAACCATACTGCTTGATCTTTCCTGATTACTATCTAGCAATCTTCTAATCCCTTTTCCATCTTTACTAATCTTTTATACCTAGTTTACAGTCTCTCTGTTCCAAGCCCACTGTCATTCTGGATAACTTCCATTTGGAGTTAAGATCTTAACTTTATTTTAGTCATTCATAGCCATGACCAGACCGGGGTTTGTCATCATTTCGAATTATTTCATCTGAAACACCTTAATTTAAATACTCGATTCTCTAAATTTAATTTCCTCCTCTCTACCTTTCTCTCATTTTCAGTCCCACTATAGCCACCTCTAAACCATTTCCTTAATTCATTCATTCTCTCTCAATTTATCAGCCCCTCCTTTATTCATCAGAATTACAATGCTACTTAAAATTATGGTGATTTTTTTTTTTGGAAGAGGTTTTTGCTATAGGGTGCATGTGCTTGCCAGAAAGACAGAGAGAGAGACAGAGAGACAGAAAGCGAGAAAATCACGCCCCAGGGGGGATGTCCACGTTGCAATCCCTTCTCCTTTCTCCTCTCGGAATCTTGAGCATGCATGCACATGTACCCGGCATGAGTTTAAGCCACCGGGTTTGGGACTTGAACCACGATTGACTACATGGGAGTCCAGCAACATAGCCACTATGCCAACTGCTTGTAGGTCCTGAAAACTATGGTGATAATTTATAGTAATGTTTTTCAAATTGTGCATCATGGCCCAATAGGGTTGTGAAAATAATTTGGTAGGTTATGATTAATATTTTTAAACATGAAATGACAGGAAAAATAGAGTTTGCTGAACATACAAAGAGTAAATATTGTTCATTAAAGTTTCGTTTCAATTACATTTATGTGAATTTACACTTATGTGTAAATGTAAAAATAAATGTCACATTGTAGGTCACATAAAAGAGTTATAAAGATACTTACTGGGTGAGCTCTATGGCCTGGTGGTTAAAGCAGCCAGCTCTGAAACCAGCAAGTGGCGTAGTGGTTAAGGTGCTGGACTTCCACATGGCCAGTACTTGCGGTTCAAGTACTGGTCTTGGAGACTTGAGAGCACCTCCAAAATCCTAAGGAGAGAATGAAGGAGAAGGAATTGTGGCATGGCCATCTCCCCAGGGTGATGATTTCTTTTTCTCTTGCTCTGTCTCTCTGGCAAGCACACACGCCCTATAGCAAAAATCCCTTTAAAATATTTTTTTAAAAGCAGCCAGCTCCAAATAATTGACAGTATAATTCCGATCTCTGCTGCAGTGGCTTGAAAAACATATGAGGTCCATGTGTATGCATGTCCAAAATCCTAATGGGTTGGAGAGATGGAGGAGAAAGGACTGTGGCACGAGCATGTACTATTCAAGGGGCGCTTTCCAAATTAAAAAAAAAAAAATTGATTAATATATTTATCTAGAGAAGGGATTAGGGCCCAACACTCTCCTAAGTAATGTGAATACATATAGATCATACCGAAGATAAACTAGTTTAAGACACTGAAAATGGGAGCTAGCAGGTAGCATGATGGTTGAAGCAATGGATTCTTACATGGCCAACTATGGTTCGATTCCTGGACCGGATCACTTGAAAATCACGCTGAGCGCATATGTGTGTGTGCCCAAAATCCCAGGAGGATAATAGAGGAGGGGTGATTGTGCTGTGGCCATCCCCACTGAGGGTGATTTCTCACTTTCCCTGTCACAGTCTCTGTTTCTCTCCTGTGAGGTATGTGCCCTACAGGGGGTGGGGGGGACACTAAAATTTTTAAAAAGAGGTTGAAAACGAATGGTCAGAAAGCAAAGAGAAAAACTAGAAGTGTGTGAGTCAAATATGCCAAGAGAAGGCCAGAATGTCAGCAATGCCATTTACTGTTAGAGATTCAAGATGAAAACCCTCATCATGTCTTTTGCAGTCCTATTCTAAGAGTCTCTAGTGGCCTTGAAGTTTCAATCCCGTTTTCTTTGTCACTGCTTTACTACAGTATTTAAAGCATAATAATAAATCAGTGAAGAGTAAGGGGAAGGAGTGGAGCTAATAAAAGATAGGCCAGTAACTCTGGCCAGTAACTCAATTAAATAGTCACACAAGCTCCAGGTTATTCACAGAATCAGAAGCGACCCTGCCCTTTGGTTCCAGCAAGATTAGAGATAACAAACTTTACCTCTGAAAGTCTCCAGTTGTATAATCTTTGCACCTCACTTAATCCCTCTAGATGTCTTTCCTTGCCTTAAAATGGGAGTGTGGCAATGAGACCTACCTTGCAGAGCTGTTGTGAGGATTATTTACAGGTAATCTACTTGGCTCCTAATTATCATCATTATCCTCCAGTAGTCAACCGTTCTGAAAAGTTGCTAGGTCCCTCCCACTGTAACCAACAGAAATCTATTACTTTGAGTAAAATCTTCAGTCCACAGAGATTCTTCTAAGATTTCTGGATTCTTCTCTCTGGTCTTGGTTTACTTCTCTCCTCAGGCGGTTAAGAGGTCCCCAGACACCCTTTACGCGACTAGAATTGGGAACTTCCCCGGCCTAGTGAGGGGCTTGACGGTAACGGCTAAAGACTAAGTTCAACTTTGTTTTGTTTGGAGTGGATGAGAATCTCCAAGGTAAAAAGAGGCGGCGCGGAAAGACGGGAAGGAGAGAGACGGGACCTGGGATTTCTCGTCACCGCCGGCGCAGGAGGGCGGTCGCAGGGCTTGGTAGCGCTAGAACCTCCTCCTGAGACAGCCACTGACAAAACTCACCAGCCGGCCGCGCGCAGCCCCCAGCCCTCTCGCAGCTCGGGATCAGTCCACACGTAGCTCCCCGCGGCCCTCAGGCCTGAGCCCTAACGGCCCCGCGCCACTCCGTATCCCGGCAACGGGGGCGGGGCTGGGAGGCTCCTGCCAGTTAACCAATCCTACCCCTTCGCTCCTGGTACCAACAAACTGAGCGAGCGCACAATGCTCTCGCGAGACTTGAGGACGGATGTTTCTTCTGAACGTCAAAGTTCTGCTACAGATGGAAGAGACAGTGTGGTCCAGTGGGCCTGGCTACACTGCCCTTTCCTTCAGTCCTTCCCCTCAGGATCCTGAATACTTGTGAACCTGAGCTAAATGTTTCTTAAACTGCTTGAGCAGGATGCCAACTGGTGTTGGCCACGCGGGATCCAGCTCCCTCCACACCGGGCTTACCCACTGTGCTACCTTCGGCAACCTATGCTACCTATGGGCAGGCCCTGTAAAACACTGTCATGTAATTATCTCATTTGACCCTAACCTATTTGTGTAGTCATTTGGCATCCTCTTGGCCACTTTGTACCTAAACAATTTGGTAGAGTTCCTGGCTTAACTCCATCTTCGGTTTCATTTTTAATGAACTGAACATGACTGGTATAGTTTTTCTAGTCTTCCTTATTACTAGGACATGCACGTGTGTATTGCCTGCTAGATTCTCCAATCTAATCTGATGCACCAACCCAAAACTTGAATGACACCAGAAGCAGCAGGATTTAGCGGAGTCTATTCAAGTAAGAGTGAAATGAGCATGAAATGAACTACATCCAACTTCCAAGACTGCAAAGGTCTACCAGCAGCAACAGTGCCCAGCATCAGTGTTAGCACAAGCTGCAGCGTTTGTGCTCAGATCCTTTATTGGCCTTCAGGATCCTGGAGACTCCATGAGTTGCTCGTCTTTTAATAAAATAGACTCCCTTTCTGCTTTAAATCATCCACAGATTTCTGTTGCTTTTAATTAAGAACTCAGATGTGGGAACCAGCAGTTGGCGTAATGGCTATGTTCCTGGACTCCCATGTAGTCGATCGCGGTTCGCGTCCCAGACCTGGTGGCTTAAAACTCACGCCGGGCGCGTGTTCGTGCATGCCCAAGATACCGAGAGGAGAATGGAGGAGAAGGGATTGCGGCGTGACCACCCCCCTGGGGGGGGATTTCTCGCTTTCTGTCTCCATGTCTCTGTCTGTCTGGCGAGCGCACATGCCCTATAGCGAAAACCTCTCCCCCCCCCCAAAAAAAAAGGAAAAAAAAAAAAAAGAACTCAGATTTAACAATTTAACTTGGCAGGACGGATACTATTATACAAGTTTTTTTCCTCATTTTTAACAAATTTTTTATTTAATTTATTATTATTATTTTTTCAATTTGCTTGCCCCTCTGCTTTTCACTGTCAAAAGTCCTGTTCGTTCAAAGTTTAACACAAATATTCTTTCTTTAGAGATGTTTGCTCTAGCACTCCAGATTAAGGCTCCTACTCCATCCATACACATACTATTTGTCCTCAAAGCAATCTGTACTTTTCTTACTGTTAAACTCAGTAAATTTATTTGTGTGGACGGGAATTCATGAATTGGCCAGCTCCCAATCATAAGTCGTTTGGGGCTTCAAAAAAGGTATTTGCAAAGTTTTATAGGGTGAATGTCGAAGTAGAGGAAAGAAATTATTTGATTGGTTAAAGTTTGAGTAACTGCCATATTGGACTATCTTGGTAGGAAGTTTAGTACAGTATAACTAATGTCCAGACGGTTACCTATGATTGGCAGAGTTCAATACCAGTACATAAGAATTGCTTTAGTGTAATGGTATCCTATATTTTAACACTACAAATCATCAATTATAACTTACAATTATCTTTTTGTTATTTTATTTAAGAGGTTTTTGGTATAGGGCGCATGCGCTGGCCAGAAAGACAGTCAAAGACAGAAAGCAAGAAATCACCCCCGGGGAGATGGCCACTCGGCAATCCCTTCTCCAACCTTCTCTCAGGCATGCACGCACACGCAACTGGCGTGAGTTTAAGCCAACGGTCCGGAACTCCAACCGTGGTGGACTACATGGGAGTCCAGTGACATAGCTATTAACGCCAACTGCTGGTCCCATAATTATTTTTGTTATTAAAGATATACAAAACCAAAGATTTAAGATGTACAGGACAGATTTTAACGGGCAACATATTACTACAATAGGGAAGAGTCTATTAAAATTGGGAACTGAACTAAACCTCTTTGTATGGAGGAAGCGGGACATTTTAAAGAGAGCATGAAAAGGATGGGTTTGTGAGTTGAACAGGTGCTTGATAGTCAGGGAAATTAAAAAATTACATAAAGCAGGAAAGGGGTAACGAAGACTTTAACCTTAACCAGGCTCCTAACTACCTTTTAAGAAGTTCATATTTCAAAATTTATGGTTTTTTTTCCTTGTACTTCCATGGGCTTTTCTTCATCAATGTTCCACTTTTGGAGGACATGTCTTTACCTCAACTTTCTAAGACCTGAAAATAAAAAGTTTCTACCAATTCTCACCTAAGCCCTTTCAATATTTTTATCATATATGCATTATGCTATATTAACCTAAAGTGTTGGCACCTAAGCATATTTGTGAAACTTTATGATGGAGAGGACAAGGACATTGGGGGTAACTTGAAACGAAAGCAAAGCGTTACTTTGGCCTCATGCTCTCTCGTTTTACTTGAGAAAAGTTTAGCTTAAAAAAAACCTCGGGAGACTGCGAAGATTTCAGAAAAATCCGTACCGCTGCCCTATAAGACACCAAGCAATCTCATTCAAGAATACCGCTGTGCGCGGCGCGGGGAAGCCGGATTTAAAATATCCGGTTCGGGGCGCCAGTCGCTTAAGCGTGGAGCGTGGCATTGTGGGACTTGTAGTCCCGGCCACGTTCTATTTACGACAGTTCGGTCGTGGCTCTAAAAGGACCTGGGTTTGGAAAGGACCTAGAGCTTGGACGTCTAGGCAGAAAGGTTGCCTGGGCGTCCGTATTTTTTCCTGCAAGAGCGTTACAACGCTCAAGAGGGAAGCGAGCGTCAGCGCCTCCTCGGCCTCAGCACTCAGGTCGCACACGGTTGCGTCACGGCGGGCTGAGGCCGATGATGAATTCCGGTGTGCAACTCAGGGTTGCTGTGTCACTCGGCCCGCTCGGCGCGCCCCTTCCCCGCCGCCCTTCCGCGCCGGCTCTCGCGCTCTT